CTGATGGTGGAACATCTTTCTACAGCTGATGGTGGAACATCTTTCTACGGCTGATGAGCAGAGCAGAGAGGAAACGTCTGGATGGTTCAACATCTGCAGGACGAGGACATGATTTTTTATTTCCAATCTTCCAGCGCTTCAGTCTTGACGTCACAGTTGAGCTCAGAGTCTTTAGTTTTTTACAGAATCTGGGGCAAGAGTTTTATTTTTGGTTAATTTTCAAGTAAGACGTGTAGAATAAAGGGATTTTTTTAAACAGATTTTCAGCTCAGAGTTGGTTATTTTATTCTGGTTGAACTATAAATCACACACAAGTGTTTCAGAAAGTTCACCATCTGACATTTTCTTCTGTTTTCACTGTTTGTGGTTCTACTAAATGGCACCATTTCTGTTTGAGATGCTGCGACTTCTGCTCAGGTCTTTCTGTAGTCTTGGACGTTACATAACCAAGGAGCTCGACTGTGATGCTTCCTTGCTCAGAAGACGTTTCTCAGTTCTCCCTCCTCTTTCATGTTGTTGTTTCCATAAAGGTTCAGCCGAAACCCCCAGAAACTGAGTTCAGAGGTTTAAAAAATACATGAGAAAATCAGCTTCCACGTCTCGTTCTCCCACCGTTTGCACCACGGAGTCATATTTTATCCATTCTGAGCCGCCCTTTGTGCGCTCGCTCCCCTGACTTCATACGTTAACAAGGCAGCTGTCTGGGTTTTAGGTGTAAAGCGCTCGAAGCTGCCGTAGAAAAGCCTCCCTGTGTGAATGCTGAGCTTGTTTAATTCCCTTAAAACAGAGACTGCTCATTTATCAGCATTTCTTCTGTCGTCTCCAGACTCGTCCTTCCTGACTGCGGCTTCCTGTGAGTCTCCCGGCAGCCCGTCGTCGCCGCTCGCCATGTCGTCGCCGCCGGCGGTCACCAGTCCAGGAGTTCTGCCCTGCGGCGGCGGCCGGGCCTTCGCCTCCTGCCTCCCTCCACCTCCGTCCCCCTTCCCCCTGCCCAGCGCCTCCCAGACTCAGAGGCTCTACATCAACTCGCCGCCGCCGCCTTTCTACTGACGGTGAGGCGCCCCACTTAGTCTCAGCTTACACCCAGTGATGTTACAACAGTCACTTCAGTTGAAAGATGGCCGGACTGACCAGTGGTTTATTTTTAATCAGAGTAATCCATCAAAATAAGATCAACACCAACATCCAGGCCCGTTTGTCATGAACAGAAAAACACCATCAGCTGACTTTAAAAGATCCTTTTTTCTATTTATAACAGTTTAAATAGCATCTTTAAAAAAAACAAAAACTTCACTAAGGCCAAGATGAAAACAAGTACGTGACTAAATTGCCAAATAATGTTCAATAAAAGAAGAATATAGAAAAGTGATCGTAATAAAACACACCGTGAAGACAAAAAAACCCATAAATACGGTTAAAAGGTGCATCTTGGCAAATTTAAAGAGAATCAGGGGCCAAACACGAGCTCACCTCGAAGGTTTAATCGTAGGCTCACCTGTCTGCTCTGATTCATTCTCAGGGCAGGAAGCTGTTCTTGTTTGTTTTTTTAAGAGAGAATGCCATAAAAAGTTTAAATAGTGAAGCTTTTAGCTGCTAAAGGAGGTGGAGGAGACCAAAAACGGAGCTAAAATACACAAAAAAAGTGGATTTAGAAACAACAAAATGATCTTCTGGACGTGGAAACAGTGCAAAGTGTTTATTCTGTGAACCTACAGGTAACATGTTAGGTCCACCTGTCCAACCACAACTCAGAGCTCTCGTAGCGTCATTTTCTATCAAAGCAGGACGTTTATTTTACCAGAAAATGCTGTAAAAAGTTTAAACAGTGAAGCTTTTAGCAGCTAAAGGGTGGAGGTGGTGGAGACCAAAAACGGAGCTAAAAGACGGTAGAACGTACTGAAATCCAACAAATACGGAGCAAAGATACGATCGTTTAATTGTTTTGTTTAATTTTGCAGGAATCGCACATTGTTGAGCCGCACCAGAGGGATGATGATGTTTTATCGCGTCACAGCGAGTCTTTTGAGGCGATACTGAAGCCGATCGTCTGACATGTTTGTCTGGAGCTCAGAAGCCCATTTTGTGTTTACTGACGAGCTCGTGTTTGTGTCTTCCTGTGGTCCAGTCGCCGGGTCGTGGAGCGCCGGCAACCCGAAGAGGAGGACGAGAAGGAGCAGGCAGGACCGGCTTTGTTATGACTACCAGACGTCTCCTATCTGTTCCTGGAGCTCAGCTTCATGTTCTCAGGACGGTTTATTTAGCTTCGTCCTCGTCTCTCTATCGCTCGCGATAAGCCAAAGAGAACAAAGCTGTTTAGGTTTCTGTCAGACGTCACAGCGAGCCGTCGGAGGCGTTTCTACTTTCCATCCCTGTTTAGGTCCGGCGTGGCGGTTTCTCGTGTTTGTTCCGTTTCTTCCGATAGTTCAGGCTCGTAGAGGTTAGCGTCAAGTGTCACTGAAGGCTTCCTTCATCCTCCCGTCGCTTCGCTCACCTCTGGACAAAAAGCCGTAAACACAAGTCGGTTTATCTTCTTCTCTGGAATGTTTGCAGCCGCCGCCGTCGTCTTTTCATGTCGACAAAGAAAAGATCTGAAAGTTAAAGCTGCTCGTCTGTCCTCGACCGAAACCCGTTTGTTTCTGTTGAAGGCTTCAAAGTTTCCTAAAAGATTTCTTCATTTGTCTTTTATCTCGTTTGCAAATATATAGTTTTCTGGAACCAGTCCAGACTAAAATGTTGAGTGATTTTAATCTATTAATGGTCTTTTTCTTTCTCGGTACAAATCTGAAGCTCTGCAGGAATAAAGTCTTTATTTTGCGGCTAGAATTTCCTGATAATTCACTTTAAAGAGTTCGTAGTGGCTTAATTTCCTCCTCAGCATTTATTCCTTCATTACTTTCTACATTTTTGGAAGATTTTTGCTTCGTGTTGTTGTTTATTTGAGAACAATTGGGACTCAGACACTTTTTCAACCGACTAAACGACTTGTTTTGTGGATTTTTCAGGCAGTCGGAGGAAGAAGAAGCAGATTTTCTCACATTCAGACGCATTAAAACAGCCAGAAGTTCACAATAGTTTGTTTTATAGCGGCTCCGTTTTAACCTCTTTGGGCTTTTTATTCAGATATTTTACGTTCGGCTCACCCTCGATTCATTCGAAGTCCTTACAGGAGCTGAGTTTTGCTCATTTATCGACTGTTTCGGCCGTTTTTCAAGCCAAAAAAAGACAACGAGGTATTTTATTATCGCTTTCAGGCCTGAAGACACTAAAACGTGATTTATTTTTGCAGGAAACCTCCGAGGAAATAACTAGAAAATGAGAGTTGTGGTTTTTTTTTAGTGATTTGGTGTTTTCGGAAACGTTTAGCGGATTCGTTCACGGCGTTCAACCGTGAGGCTCTGAAATGGTTTTTAGGATCCCGTCGATGGATTTGTTTGGATTTAAAACATCTGAACGTAAATACGAACCCGGCGTTGGTCGGCTTCGTGTTTCCAATCCGAATGTTTGGTGTTTTTAGTTCTTCGGGTTCTTGTTTGGTTTTTTTTTTTCGGTGTTTTGGGAGAATTAAAGGTGTAACTCGTGGAGAACTGAATGTTTGTCCTTTTTCTTTTCCTTTTTTTTTTAATTCGCTGACTCACGAATCCAAAGTGGTTTTAAATCCGCCTGCTTTTAATTTGAAATTGGTTCAAAACGTGATCCGTGAAATTAGACGTATTTATTCAAAGACAGAAATCAGTAAAAACAGATTAAAAAGAAAAAGAAAAGCTGGATTGATAAATGAAAGGATTAGTTTTTATGACCCTATTTATGAGAAATCTGATGCGAGGAGATTAAATGACAAACACCAAGGTTTATCTGTGCTGTGTACCAATAAAACTGGATTATTTTCATCTGATCTGTGATTAAATATTTGATGTTTCAGAGGCTCTTCACTGGTCCTGTGACTCTTTGTGGATGTTTTTTAATATATTTTTGTGGTTATTTAGTTTTTTCGTGATGGTCTTGCTTTTGTTTGACGTCTTTCTCGTCGTGTCTCTTTGTCGTTCTGTCTTTTTTGTGGCTGCTTTGTGCTTCTTTAAGGTTGTTTCACATCCTTTTTGTGGACTGTTGTGCGGCTGTCTTTGGTCTTCTTCATTTCGTGTCGTCCTGTGTGTCGTCGTGGTCGCCTTAGAACAGCCTTGAACGGGTCGCCGGCTCATTTCTCACTGACTTTGGCTGAAACTCTGTTAAAACGTGACATTAAAGGTAGTATTTGATCTTCAGCGGCTGCAGCAGGTGTCTGGATGATGAAGCTTTGAAACCCGACGAGCCGATTCGTAAGTATGGACTGTTTGTTTTGCCTTTTCTTGGCCCTTTGGTGGATGTTTCCAGAACTTCTGTGGTACCTGTCGGATAATCAAAGGGGAGCAGATTTCTCTTTGATTTCACACTCGCTGGCTGGTGTTTCCTGTGCTGCTCTGCTTTCTGAGGCCTGAACCTTGGTCACCTCCGGGACAGAAAACAGAAAGTAAAAACATGAAAGCAGACGGACCACAGGCCGGGTTCTGCTCCGAGGCTTCCACAAGGAAGGAAGGACGTCCCACAGTGTGGTGGTGGTTCTGGTTAAACAGGTTCTGACTGTTTCTGGTGTGAGGAATGTGTCTGTGGATGTCTGACGTCTGTATGGGGGTCGATTGCATCTGTTTGTGGTGGTTTTGTGTCTCTTTGTGGCTATTTTGTGTCTCTTTGTGGTCGTTTTGTGTCTCTTTGTGGCTATTTTGTGTATCTTTGTGGTCGTTTTGTGTCTCTTTGTGG